TATATATATATATATATATATATATATATATATATATTTGTACCGCCATTAAATTTTTATAATTTTTGGAATCATTAATAACTTTTGTGGTAACTTGTTCAAATTGTAACTCGAACCCTAAAATTGTAATATGACCAAAAAATTGTAGAGTTTTTGGTTGTAAACATCCTCAAAAAATTTTATCAAAACCCACAAAATTTATAAAACTTGGTGCGATATTTTCGGTATTATAGTCTTCTCCTAATCCAAATAGGTTTGGCACCTGCTAGAGAGAGGAGTTGCACTCCCACATTCATAGCACTTTGCTAAAAAATCCAATTGGATTTCATGGACGATCACGTCTAAATTCCAAGTCTCTTAGATTCAACTTTAAGCAGAAGAATTTGGTAAACCTAACAAGACCATAAAGTTCTATGTCCATATCTACATGAAATTCTTTTCTTTGACACACAAAGTCAAACTTCCCATCAAGGACTCTTTAAAGTCTTGTGGATTCCACCAGATTTGTTGAATTAGTGGAAGATCTTTTAAAGGGGGTCCACCTAAATTTATGATATTTAATGTCCGGTAATACACTGGGAATATAATTGAAAAACATAATCATAGTGGTCAGTGGATTATTTGTGAGCCCCACTGTTATGAAAGTTCAATATCAATATAGTCGCAATATATTCAGTTTTAAATTATATCTCAGTAACATCAGTATGTTGTGTTGATCCTTTCCTCTTACTTTTATGATCAAATCTCTACCATGAGATTTGTATCCCAATAACATCCCCTTTTGTTGGATTTGGGATCTTTTCGAGATTCTCTCCAGTACATTTCCTTTCAATTTATTCTAATGGTAAATTATTCATCATAACTTTCTGNATCTTTTCGAGATTCTCTCCAGTACATTTCCTTTCAATTTATTCTAATGGTAAATTACTCATCATAACTTTCTGAAAAAAAAAAAAATTACTCATCATGTGTTAGTAAAATACACCAATTTATACAGTGAATCTCACTTGAATACATGATGGACGGTTTATTATGGATAAAATCAAAGTAGATCGTATTGAAAAAAAATATGAATTTTAGCTCGTCTACTTTAGTTTCTTGAAAACTATGTGAAGTTTGAAAGCCAGACTATTTAAGCTTGGTAGATTGGGCATTAAGGGTCCGAGTCGTTGAAACACCCTCTCCACATGCTCTGATAAGTTTGCTACATCTTACATTCTCTAGATCCCACGGTGGAGATAGTTTCGTGAACTACACCACCCTCTATGGANTATGTGAAGTTTGAAAGCCAGACTATTTAAGCTTGGTAGATTGGGCATTAAGGGTCCAAGTCGTTGAAACACCCTCTCCACATGCTTTGATAAGTTTGCTACATCTTACATTCTCTAGATCCCACAGTGGAGATAGTTTCGTGAACTACACCACCCTCTATGGAACAGTCTGGGCATTGTTTGATCGCAAGGAAAGAATTAAGTGTTTTCTGGGCAAGTAATTTGAAGATTAAGGGGTTCAGTTTTCAAGATACATGGAAAACCAAGATACCCTAACTCCACTCAGGACTCAAGTTTACTGATCAAATTTAGTTTATAGAAGAATAAATAAATACATGAAGTAATGTACAATGGACAACCCCAAACCAACCAGATCCTATACCTCAACCTTATCTTAAATGGACAAAAAAAAAAAAAAACATGAAGGCACAGTATGAGGTAACTTTCCCTTATACTAAGCAAATAACCTATGGCAACACCCAGTTTTGTGCATGCAACAAATTTCATACCTCAGAGAAGTATGCACACCCCCACCCCCATTCCGACCATGTCGCTGAAGGTCTAAAACTCTATGCAAGGTCTCAAAGATTACTACACAAGGTTTCTGTCACTGTGGAGTATAAGGAGAATCAGATGTATGCAACTTTTATCCGCATATGGAGAGATTGTTTCCACGAGAAGGGTAACACCACAACCAAAAATGTTCATTATACATGATTAAGATCACGTGTCTTTAACTATTTCTTCAATCAGATCTCCAATAATCTGATGTTCTATCTCTTTCCCCATAGCGTTAACATCGTCATCCATTAATCCAGACCATGGTGCTGACTGCAGATCTTCGGCCACCATACTCTCAAGACAGTAATAGGGTTTCCCTTCCGGAGGGTATACGAATGGATGAATAATTTGCCACACACAATCCAATAACTTCCGTCCATGTGGAGGTTGCAGCACAGGACCAATAGCCTTTTTCATGAATCTAGACATGGTCAGAGGTTGCCTAAGTACAATTGAAAGTGCTTCATTTGACAAATCCAGCAACAACTTGTGATCTATATTCTTTTCACCATCATCCTCCAAGGACCCTTGACAATCCTTGGTCTTTTTTCTGTAAGACTCTTCCACTTCTTCAAAAACCCGGTAGCTTATTGGCCTTGCCAGCGTGTCCCATCTTGATAAATATCTATCGGATGAACCATCATACAAGCCAGAAGCAATAAGCAAATCTCTTAAGTAAGCTTCTGCATGGCCCTCTAACTCCACCATCTCAGCTTCCAAAGACTGCTCTTCGAAGATTGTCTCATCGGAACCATCAGACTCAAGTTGATTCAGCTGCTTCCGCAGCTCTGTATGATTAGGAAACCAAAAACTTTCAGATTTCTCAGTCACAGTTCTGCAACAATATATTTAAGTGGCTTGGTATCACAAAATAGATTATCTACTACCAATACTCAACACTCATGGGTTATGAATGGCCACAAGATGCTAGAAGCTTTAGCTCTCCTTCAGCATGGAAAACATAAAGCCCACNTGAACCATCATACAAGCCAGAAGCAATAAGCAAATCTCTTAAGTAAGCTTCTGCATGGCCCTCTAACTCCACCATCTCAGCTTCCAAAGACTGCTCTTCGAAGATTGTCTCATCGGAACCATCAGACTCAAGTTGATTCAGCTGCCTCCGCAGCTCTGTATGATTAGGAAACCAAAAACTTTCAGATTTCTCAGTCACAGTTCTGCAATAATATATTTAAGTGGCTTGGTATCACAAAATAGATTATCTACTACCAATACTCAACACTCATGGGTTATGAATGGCCACTCGATGCTAGAAGCTTTAGCTCTCCTTCAGCATGGAAAACATAAAGCCCATNGTTAATATTTAAATCATTATACAACATTATTTATATTATTGCCTTTTGAGATGCAAAAGTATTTTGGTATTCAAGTTTTGTTAACATGTCTTTTTCAATAGTCAGATAAAATATTTAATTCGAACAAAGTGTGATACTTGATATAATTATAAGATAGAATTTTACTAAATGTAATGTTTATTCAATCAAGGAAAAGAATAAATAATAAAACTGAAGCTAAATATCAAATGCTCAAATGATGTTTTATGTTGCCATTAACAACATAAACAAACTAGTCATAAACATAAAATCCGAAGGCCAAAAAATTAATTCCACTATATTAATTGTAATTTTTATCCTCCACTTTCCTTAATTGCATAATTTAAAATTAATTTCTACCCATTATTAGAAAAAAAAAATAACCTTTTTCAAAATACATGACTTTAAAAAAATATCAATATGTGTATGAATAATGTCTAAAATAAAAATTATATTGAGCTATAAATTTATCAAAAATTAAATAATTCAAATGGGGATAAAAATGAGTGATGTGATAAAAATGAACAGAAAAAATACGTGAGAATAAAATTCAAAGTGCTAGCTAACTATCTTATTAGATAGATTCTCAAAAAATTCAAATCAAATCTACATAACTCTAACTTATCAAAATTTTCAAGCTATCCAAAGTAGTTGGTAATAACATAATAAAAAAATATTATACAACTAAATAACATTATTTATAAAAGAAATTAGTATCGTATTAGTGTAGCTGCCTTAAAAATAATATAGAACTTAATTGAACTTGGATCTACAGTCTTCGCCTACCAATTTTTAGAGGTTCTAAACACCAATTTGGATTTGATTGAACATGAGCATATGAATTTTAGTCAAGGCTTTAAAAATAAAATTGTGCTTAATTGAATTGAATCTTAAATTTTTTGGAGAGCCCTAAAAATAAAAGTGGACTTACTTGAACATAAATTTTAAAAATTTTACTCAGGACCTAAGAATAAAACTAGACTTAATGGGACCCGTGTGTAAAAATTTTATTTGGGGTACTAAAAATAAAATTAGACTTCAATGAATATTGATCTGAAAATTTATTTGAAACCTAAAATTAATATTAGTCTCAATTAAACCACCTTAAAATGGGACCCTAAAAATTTGGAGGCCTAAAGCGGTGGTTTTAATGCCTATGCCATTGAGTCGGCCCTAAAGTTGTGCTAAATCTATCCCGCATAAGTTATTACCATATTTACGATAAAACGAATACTATATATATTAAAACAAGCTATTTGAAATAGATTCTTTTCATACCATGCAGGTTAGAGCTGATTTCTCGAAAAAACTGTGGCATAGCATTATCTTCTAGGGAAAGTACATTTGATTTTGATGTTGAGCTGATAGGTTCTGTTGGCCTCCAGAGATCTTCATGAACACTGCTGCACACGGATGCAGGGCTTGGTGGCACCTCAGTGGAGTTCTCCTAAAACAAGAAGGTACCGTATAATTAGAAGACACCAAGTCATGGAAGACCAGGTCAGTTCACCAGTTCAATTCTTGTTTCTCAATACAAAAAAGTAAAGAGTAATGTTACATGAACTTAAAAACAAGACTTAATAATTACAACCATTGATTTCACTGCGGGTCCCAACTTTTATTGGGACCCACTACCTATTCAANTGTTGAGCTGATAGGTTCTGTTGGCCTCCAGAGATCTTCATGAACACTGCTGCACACAGATGCAGGGCTTGGTGGCACCTCAGTGGAGTTCTCCTAAAACAAGAAGGTACCGTATAATTAGAAGACACCCAGTCATGGAAGACCAGGTCAGTTCACCAGTTCAATTCTTGTTTCTCAATACAAAAAAGTAAAGAGTAATGCTACATGAACTTAAAAACAAGACTTAATAATTACAACCATTGATTTCACTGCGGGTCCCAACTTTTATTGGGACTCACTACCTATTCATTGAGTGGAATTATCAAGTCTAGTTTTTAAGTTTAATTTTTAAGTCTATCTAGCATTACTCATAAATAAATGGCCACGTATGATTCTTACATGTCGATCATTGAAGTTCATTACAACTGTTGGCCCACTCATGATGTCTTCCATGAAATCACGTTTGTTTCTATGCGATTCCTTTGCCGATCGAGTATTTCTGCCAAAGNTGGCCCACTCATGATGTCTTCCATGAAATCACGTTTGTTTCTATGCGATTCCTTTGCTGATTGAGTATTTCTGCCAAACAGCCTCCCTCTAAGGGTGAAACTGTATTTAAAACTTGAAACTTTTTCCCTAAAATTGAACTTTTCCTTCTTCTGTTTTTTCACATTCACCGTTACCTTTTCAATGGCTTCAAAGTTCCTCCGGATGCGGGCCCCAGTATAAATATGGCGGTCCTCTAGGAGAAGCTTCCCAAGTGATGTTCCCGATACTGGAGCTGACAAAGACCTTATGAGGTTCCTAGGGGACATATCATTGTGGAGCATTACATCATCATCAGGCCCACACCTGAAAGATCTGCTTTGTATATCTGGTTTATCTTTCACTACATTCCAGTAGCTGACGTTCCTTCCAGCATTCAGGATATCTCTTGATTGTGCACATCTGTCACTTTCATTATCTAACATGGACGAATTTGATCTACCATGGACAGCCATGGGAATATCTACATGTGTTTCCTTCAGGACGTTCCTTAACCTCTCTGACAAGAACCTCCTGGTATCTTTGTTAATGAATTCTGGGGAACCCGTTCCATTCAATTGAATTTCACTTTTATAGGATCTCGTGGATTCAGATCGACGCAAATGCATTCTAACATCCCTAGTAACATTTTCTCTGACCTGTTTTGCTATACGTTGAGCTATTTGTTTTGGGTCTGAAGACTTCTCACTATGAACGGTCTCAATTCCTCCTCCTCTAACCATGCTACCGCTTTTGAAAGTTTTTCCTTGCATCTCCCACCTCAGCCTTTCCTTAACCTCCTCAAGAAAATCTTCTATGCTACCTCTCTCCTGTGAAGGACCTGAAGAACTGCCCAAAGAATCTTCGTTATTGCTAAACCGATCCGGGCCAGGCCGCAGGATCACTATTTTTGTTGGAGCAGAACATTTATCCAGTTTCAGATTAGAATTTACCAAATAAGACCCCACTGTTGGCATTTTGCGACTTAAAGCAAAGGATTCCTTCTGTTCAACGGGGAAAGGTTCACTTTTCTGCTTATGGTGCTGAAATCCACTTCTTTCAGGCAGACTTGCTTTCACTGGACAAACCTTTAGTTTGTTTTCATACTCATGGTGTTGTAAAGTACCTCTTTCCCCTGAGCTTGCTTTTACTGTATGACGCTCAAGTTCTGTAGAACTTTCAAATGCTGTCTTTCTAGAATTTGTATGAAGAACCATCTTTTCCTTGTTGAGGTTCTCTTGAGCAAGCAACTGGCAAGGAATAGTGTCAGATTCGACCATCTTTTCACATTCCTTAACCCTTGCTGCTTGCCATGCTTCAAACTCTTTCTTGAACTTTTGTAGTTCCTCCTCTTGGGGATGCTCTCGACGACTAGGCTTGTTCAACTTCATGCTACCACTCCGTCGATCAGGGTTTCTGTCTTCATTATGATGAAAGGAATGGGATTTCATCTGTTTGGAAGAATTTGGGTTACAATGGACATGGCCAATAGCCCCATTTTTCGTTCGTTCCTCTCTTTGGNTCCTCCTCTTGGGGATGCTCTCGACGACTAGGCTTGTTCAACTTCATGCTACCACTCTGTCGATCAGGGTTTCTGTCTTCATTATGGTGAAAGGAATGGGATTTCATCTGTTTGGAAGAATTTGGGGTACAATGGACATGGCCAATAGCCCCATTTTTCGTTCGTTCCTCTCTTTGAAAGCTGGTTCCTGGTTTACCATTCTTTTTGTCAACCTGCTGTGCTGCTGGTTTTGCATCTAATGGCAACATATCCACTCCCATTAGACGTGCCACAACACTTGGTGCATTGTGTCTGGCATTTGATCTTTTAGATGTCTCCTCCCTGATCAAGTTCTTCATTGAAGCCTCGATTGGATAACAGCTCCCTTCAGAGCAGGTCTCTGTCATTTGATAAGTGGACTGAAAATAACAAGCATGAGTCAAAATGACGAACACACAAACACGAAGCAGGTAACTGGTACAAGAAAGTGTTACANCCTCCCTGATCAAGTTCTTCATTGAAGCCTCGATTGGATAACAGCTCCCTTCAGAGCAGGTCTCTGTCATTTGATAAGCGGACTGAAAATAACAAGCATGAGTCAAAATGACGAACACACAAACACGAAGCAGGTAACTGGTACAAGAAAGTGTTACAAGGAGACTAGTACCATAACACGCTAAAGAAAAATCAGAGTGGAAACTCTGTTGGAGAATTTGGACTTGTCAAGTAGGTAGATGAAAGTAAAAAATTTAGAGGGTCAAGGTTAACAAACAAGACAATCTGTTTGGATATAAAGTTAGATTGAGTGACATACAAGCGAGAAAAAATATATGGAGAGGATGTAAGAAACAGATCCAAAAGACTAGCCAAGAGATCACCTACTGTAAAAATTTCCCTCTTCAGAGATATTGAACTCATCAAAACAAAGAAGATTACAATGATAAAGACCCTTCTCTAAACACACAGAAATATAGTAAATCTCAGCCATTTAACAATAAATCTTCAACAACAGCCACGCCCAAGGACTTGTGAGCCCACCCTCAGAAGGGACAGGCCAAACACTCAAAAGGAGCACATATTCACAACGTCAACCTAAGAAAGCCTTATCCCTTGAGAGTGAAAAGCCCTAACATAGTTTAGGATACTCTGAAAAGAGTTTATAATGGAGGTTGGCACCCTGTTGCTTTTTTATCCAAAAGACAACGACAAATTTCATTAGATATACATTATAGGGTAAGATTATTCAAGAATCACCTCAAAGATAATGAACTATAACAGGGCATGTAATAATATTATTTCCCATACATTTTCTCCTGCAGCACAATAGCTATCTGAGGTCTCCACTGGCAGCTCCAAGCTGTTTCGAGGAGCCTCCAAGCCTGCAGAGTAGTTGAATCAACAGCATTTTATTCCTAAGTTAGTCAGAAAGAGAGAAGAGGATGAATGGATGAAATGTATATTCCAATCTATTTTCTCTTTCATTCTCAACTGGGATGGTGTTTCCGATTGCAGTTTTCATGATATGATACAAAATTATCACGTGCACCAAAACTGCAGCCTTTTAGTGAGAGATTTCACACTTACACCCTGACTATAACCATTTGAAATTTCTTCAAACTCCACATGGAAATCAACAAACACTTCTTATGGACTCACTCAATTTCAGATTAAAGATGCATCCAATTCATTTAAGCACCAAAGAATGGCGTTGAGTGCCTGTAAGAGGCATTGCAAGTATGAATTCACACGTCCCTTCCANACTTCTTATGGACTCACTCAATTTCAGATTAAAGATGCATCCAATTCATTTAAGCACTAAAGAATGGCGTTGAGTGCCTGTAAGAGGCATTGCAAGTATGAATTCACACGTCCCTTCCTAGTTGCTACCACAGCATCTTCCCCTGATGCAACCATATATATAAATATACTTACCACCAACATGCCTCTTATGTTTGACAACTTTCCTAGCCATGCTGCCTTGATAAAAGTCAATAAGGTGCAGTAAGCCTCCCATGCAGGCTGTGGGTCCACCCAAAAGCTGTAATGTCCTTAGTAATACATCTCTGTATTACCCCATGAAATCCAAAGCTATTGTACATCATCCACGGAACAGAGAGCCACAAAATTGATGCACACCCTGTAGAGCCACAGAACACATAACTAGTACAATCTGGAACCCATACACCACTTGTGAGGCAACATAAAAAAGAACACAAGTTTTAAAACTAAAGAATCAAGAAATATCACTACAAAAGTTAGACATCTTGCCTCCTAAGACACTGGTTACTTAATTCCATCCTCAATTAATGAAAAAGAGAAATAGAATTACAGATAAATTTAAGTCTTACAGAATAAAAGCAAACTCAAGTAAGGACAAACGCCAATTTACTAGACCAGGGNAATTACAGATAAATTTAAGTCTTACAGAATAAAAGCAAACTCAAGTAAGGACAAACGAGCGCCAATTTACTAGACCAGGGATAGTCCTATCACTGAAAAGCGTACAAATTATAAGGCAACCTACATTCATATGTTCTTAAATGTAGAATTGTGGAAATATAGTAGTCATCCCATGTTTTTGAGCTCTTTTCTCTTTCTCAATGCCCTCATCATATCATTTCGGTGTACAAGAAAGTAACCTTTGGTGCGTTTTAATCTACAAAGAAATGATACAGTGAAAACAATATAGCTCAGTGTAACCAGTCTTGCAAATGAGTTGAATGAAGAAAGATCAAATAGGAAGAGAAAGCGTTGAGAGAGAGAGAGAGCATATACTACTTATAGGACAATTCCATGGAGCTGAACAATAAGAAGTACCAAGTGTTGAATCAGATGTTATCACTGAATTATTTTCCTTTTAAAAAGCAAAAAGTCTTGCAATACTTTGGAAAAGTAATTTCCTGAAAAACCCCACTGAAAAATATCAAATTTCAGCACCTAATCAGAATCAATCTGAAAAATAAAAAGCAAAATGAATTCGCAAAACCTTAGGACCTTAAGCACCAAGTCCACTAAATTCAATTCAAAACACACAATTAATCATATTAACACACACAGCGAAAAGTGTTTCGAATATTAATCAAAATTCGACATTGTAAAATCATACAGGAACTAACTTTTGTGACCTACTGTGGAAAAAGAATCACAACGGCTCAAATGCATCAATATTACGAAAGTGCGATCAAAGCAACGGGTATTTAAGAAATTCACAAGCTTAAATTCATCTAAACTAAAAAATTCAACATCTGATCAGAAACAATTCAACCAAAAATTTTAGAAAATTAAAACAATTTAGTACCTTAGGCACCAAATCCACTAAATTTGTCCAAAAAAAAAAATCAATTAAATCTATGAAAACACGCATAGCGACTACGGTGTCAAGAAATGTTATCACAATTCGACATTGTAGCATCAGAAAGGAACTAAATTCTGTAACTTACCGCTGACAAAGAACCACAAAGGCTCAAATGGAGTAGTATCACCAACAGAATTCTCAATTTCACAAAACTTCAACCACAAACGACCTATCATTCAGCACACTGAAGATAGCCGAAGGAATGGAGAGAGAGAGCTGTTCGATTGACAGCAGAGATTCTCCAAACTTTGGGATTTGAAAGGTGGGAATAATGATGAACAGTCGGAGCAGTCCAGATAAATGTGATAATGATGATGAAAGCCGAAAAAGTTTTGCTTTTAGCATGAGAGTCCATCGCTGGAATGAATCATCCATATGCTCACACAACCGGAAAGCGAAACGCCTCCCCACACGCACACACCTAAAAAAATAATAATAATAACTTTTTGTTATTTATTTTTTAGTCCTTTTATTTATTTTTTATTAATTTGCTTGTTTTTTTGCTTCCGCAGTTTTACTTTTAGCTGTGAACTGTGACAGACGAGAAAATATTTAATACAATTACGATATCATTAGTATGTAATATTATCATTTAATTAAAAAAATATAATTAGATAAAATGATTTACATTAATTCTATTTATTGATAATTGAATATAGTGGTTACGAATAAATATTAAAATAATGAAATTCATTTTATTTACTTACAATCTTTTATTAGATAAATCCATCACGTGATAATAATAATTCGGGAGGAAGTATGGTTAGGAATCGAGTGCGGCGTAGACCACTGAATGTACCTGGTCTCTATCAATGGGCTCATCAAACCTAATATTTGTGGAAGTTGTTGGGCCAAATAGAGTGATGAGACGGATTGAGCTTTAAACTGATATATCTTGAGTTCAAATTTTAGTAATTTTTTGAGATTAAGTTATGAGAAATTTATCTTTCATAATACCTTAGTTTCGACGTAGATGGTTTATTTTTAATCAGGCCGAAAAAAAAATTAATCGAAATATACATAAATTGACCTAAACACCCCCGGTGGTTGACAAAAAAATAATGATAGCATCATTAAATTAAATTGTGGCCGTGTCTTAGCCAAGGTAAGTTACAAACTACCTTCATATTTGGATTTGATTATGTACATCTAGTGGCATTTCTTTTTCATTAGAATGTTGTTGTGAGCATGTCTTTTTTATTTTTATCCACAACAAGAATATGGTATTATGTTATCCAAGTCATAACATATAGTTATTTTTAAATATTATTTTGATACCCAAAGGGTTAGTCATGGTGGCCATAAACCACGTCCTAATTTAGAGGTTCAATGTCTCTTACCTATACATATATCATGAAAAAAGAAAAAAATAAAAAACTAATTCTTACTAGACATGAGGCTTCAATTCGATCTTTTAGTAGGGCCGTTAAATGATTCAGGCGATTTACGAATAATTTGGGCTCGGATCAATTTTAACTTGACTTGGGTTCGCTCGTATTATAAAATGAGTCAAATCTAAACAAATTTTTAGACTCGTTTAATATTCGAGTTGAGTTGAGTTGAACCTCAGCTATTGCGTGTCAGCTCGTTTTTCTTACTTGTACATAATATACATATAAATTATTATGCATCTCAAAATTATTTCAGTAAAATTAGTAAACATTTTAAGTTTGACTGTTTTTATTATGACTTAGAGATATTTTATTCTTAGATTTGTGTTAAAATTTAAATTTTTGTGCATTTTTGTAAAAGTTTTTGTTTGGATATTTGAAATTTGTATTTTTTTTTAATAACTTATTTTTTACTCGAACTCAGCTCAAATTCAATTTGAACCGAGCTTGAACAATCCTTGAATGGCACACGCCAAGCTTGTGCATAGTTAGGTTAAGAAGACTCAACTTGATTAACACACTTACTTCAAAGTCACTTATCAATTGATTTATTCTATAAAAACGTCCTCTCAGTATGATGTACCGAGGTGGTGATTTCAAATTTTGATGTGGTCGACTTACATAATTTTTTAGTAATTTTATATATTTGAAATTTATATTCTTATCATAAATCTAAAAAATAAAGTAATCGAAACAATTCTTTACTAAATAATAAATAATAAGAAAAATCTTTTAAAAAAAAAAACATACTTAAAAAATTGACATGCTATCTTGTGCCCGAAGCAGAATGTGGAGGTTGCACTTGATCTTTCACCAAACTCTTCACATTCATCACATATTCTATTCACACTGAGGAAACAGAAAAGACCTTGGGTTGATGTCGTCCCCGTACACGACATCGCCGGAGGCGATAGCATGTTGCAATGGGTCCATCGTGGCTAAATGACTGTTTTACCCCCCTCCAAACATTCCATTGAAAGTAGAATTGTTAATGGATCAGATGAATTTGAATTCAATCAACTAAATATAGATTGATTCTTTTTTTGTTATCAATTGTTTGAATTTGAATTTAAATTGGTCGTATCATATTTTATGATTTCAAATATAATTAGGTCTTTGTCGGGTGAAATGAGTTCGTGTCAAAAAATACTACACTCATGCTCAATTCATTTATTAATTTATTTCTAACGAGTCAGTGTTATATCGAATTCATATCGTGTATGAGTGTTATACAACCGATATATAAACTAGTTGTATTGTATATATTTTTTTTAATTGGATTCACTCATACATGATTTATTTATTAATCGTGTCGGGTCGATCTCATTCATTTGTGAAACGGGCGGCTTAAGAAAGACCTAAATCCTCTAATTTTGTATCATATTAACGAGTTGTATTATATTTTGACATTCAGATATATGATTATACCAATTGTCAATCGATTATGATTTAATCTGAATTTTTAAATTTAATGAATTTTATTATGAAATATAAAAAATAAAATATTTCAAATATTCGAATCATCATTATTTTTAATTAAAATTCAATTCTAATGCGTGACACTGACAGTATAGTTGGCAGTTGCTTTTACGGAATGCTTTCGACATTATTTTATGTCACTATTTTAATTAATAAGAGCGATAGCAACAACGGCAACAATAACAGCTCAGAAACAGTTGCTTTTGGCGCCACCATTCCCTCCATTTGGCCACAATATGTAACGGTCGTAGATAAATTATGGACCTTTGTATTTGTTTTCTACTGCTAACTTCCCCCTTCTTTTTTTTTTTTTTCAAAAAAAAAAGGAATTTACGAGTAACTCTTTTTAAGGCAAAACTCATTGTACATTCATTCTTGCGAAAGTAAATTTCAAATACTTGTAATCACCGATAAATTACGTGTATCAGTTAAACCCATATAACACCAACGAGAGAGTCGAACCAAAAATTGATGATCATGATTCGTTTAAGTCCAACTTCACACTACTGGCGTACTTGGATTTTTGTACCGCTATTAAATTTTATCTCCTAGAATTTAATATATATTTTTAGTCCATGTTTTTGCATATAGAAACTTATTTGTAAAAACACTTTTTAGAAATTTCCTATTAAAAAGCATGTTTATAGATGTCTTTTGTTGAATGAATTTTTTGTACATACCACGATATAAGAAATAATGGTATTTAGTGAAAAAAATATTAAAAATTCAATGTTGGGAAAATTCAACCAATCAAATGAATTTAAGAGAAAAGAATACCCTAGTATTGTTNGAGAAAAAAATATTAAAAATTCAATGTTGGGAAAATTCAACCAATCAAATGAATTTAAGAGAAAAGAATACCCTAGTACTGTTTACTTCTAAACTTAAGTCTACAAAACATTATCCCATTTTTTTTTTTTTTTTTTTAGTTATAAGGTGTTTAGGTTTATAACGACTATTCCTTTGAATTTCGAGTCAAACNTGGACTTATGAAAACTTTTTAGGCGGGTATCTAACATCTGAACCAAATTCTTTTTAGTAAAGAATCTAATTCTAGTTGCTCTATAGTTGACGAGAACATTTTGCATCTGCACAAATAATTATTCGAGTCCTGTTATAATTAGGTTATTACGTCTGAAATCTATGTTCGATCTTGTTAATTCTCAAGTAAGTCTCATTTTTTTTCTAAATATTTAGTTGAAAATAATTGAATTTACCGACCTTGCAAGAGTAGCTAATAGATTTCGTTAATGTTGTGCAAAACTTGTACATAAAGTTAGAATTATCTTTCCAACATCCGATTTAAGACACGAAAATAATCTATTTCGTAGATGAAATAAAACCATACACAATAATAACGAGAGTATTTTATGTGGTTTGTCTTTTATTTTTATTCTTTAATTACAATTGCAATGCAGTAAAGAAATAAAGCTGAGGTAGGGCTGGGTCAAATGGACAAACAACCCCCCACCTCCCACCCCAAACCACGGTGGTCAAATCAGTCGAACGTGGAATGATCATTAGGAAAGAAGGGGAACTTTAAATAATTGAACCTTGCATGTGCAATATTCCTAGACACATGTCTTGTGTGAATGTATTAGTTAATCAGAATAACTTTATCCTTAAAAGTGAAAGAGATTGTCGTTTTGAACGTTTGATCTCGAGGAACCGATAACTATAAGGGAGAATTATACTTAGACATTTTTTAGATTTGTCATTTAATTACTTAGGTTCCTTGATATTTAAAATATTATATACAGACCCCTTTAAATTTATACGCGCTTAACATTTAGTTCCTTATTGTAAATATATCTTTTAATAAATTATACTTAAACTCTCCTAAAGTTTATGAGTATATAATACTTAGATCTTTTAAGTTTAAAATATTATACTTAGACCAAAAATATTTCAATCAAATAATGGGTCTAAGTCATTCATAATAGAATATGAATTTTACATCCAANTATCACTTAATCACTTAGGTTCCTTGATATTTAAAATATTATATACAGACCCCTTTAAATTTATACGCGCTTAACATTTAGTTCTTTATTGTAAATATATCTTTTAATAAATTATACTTAAACTCTCTTAAAGTTTATGAGTATATAATACTTAGATCTTTTAAGTTTAAAATATTATACTTAGACTAAAAATATTTCAATCAAATAATGGGTCTAAGTCATTCATAATAGAATATGAATTTTACATCCAAAATTCATGTTATATTATGTCATTTATTGAAATAAAATTAAAAAAAAAAATTAATTTTTTTTTAAAAAAAAAACATAATTAGTATACAATTA